CCCGGGAGGCTCTTAGGACTGAGGGCTCGAAATGTTGTTTCGTGTTCCCCCTCTGGGGCCCTTCTTGGGGCCCTCTTGGGCCGTCTTGGGGGCGTCTTGGGCTGTCTTGGGGCGCTCTTGAGCCGTTTTGAAGCCCTCTTGGTGGCCTTTTGGGCCGTCTTGGGGCGATCTTTGGGGCCTCTTTGGTCGTCTTGGAGCGTCGGGAAGCGCAAAAGGCGAGAATGCGAAAATCCTTCAAAAACCTGAGGGAAATCGATGAATTTTGCCTCTTGGGGACCTCTTGGCAGGGCTCTTGGAGGCTTCTTGGTGCGTCGGGGAGCCATCTTAGGCGTTTTGGAGCGATATTATGGCGTCTTGGAGCTCTGTTGGACCATATTGAGGGCCTCTTGGGGGTCTCTGAGCTCTTCTCGGGGCTCTTGGGAGGCCCTGAGGGCGGCGCCCAGGAGCAGAACCATCCCCGACAGGGAGTTGCCCAGGGACCTGGTCAGGGTACTTTTCGTCCGGGGACCCCCAGGGGCCGCCCCGCGCGCGCGAACTAGAAAATTGTTAAGCAGTTACCGGAGATCTTAGCACGCCTCTGGCCCGTTGGGCCGGCGAATAATGGTAGTGAGCGGAGCAATGCCAGCAGTGCGTCGGCTCCGGGCGCAGTTTGAGAGCCCCAGGTGGCGGCAAGGGCATCCACCAACAGAAAAGAGTCACACATCTACATGCATCTTCAGACATTTGCATCGCATGTCTGATTGTGCATGCTAGTCAGAAGGAGGGGTTAATATATACCCCCCCCATGAGGAGGCGTGCGGGGGGGCGCTTCCACGCAGCGGTGAGAGAAGCTTCTAGGAGCATGCGGGCGGCGAGTCTTCCGCCTTCTTCCGCGGCGTAGCCGGCGCGCCGCCGTCGAAGCAGCGGCCTTCTATCCTTCCAGTGCGGCCCCACATGGCTTTGCAGGTTGTGGTGCGGAGCGGGAATTTGGGACCGAGCTGGGCCACAGCGCGGTTGTGCCGCAGAAGTTCCCATGAGCCACCCCCCAGATCGAATCAGGGGTACACAGAACGTGTTCGAGCACGAATATATCACAATCGCCTTCTCCTACCGCCAACTCTCGCTCACCCACCCCCACCCTCTCCCACCCACCTCGTACCGAGCACAGTCACATTGGCGTCCCTCCTCTTTTTGTCCTCTCCTTTCTCTCTCCCACTACCAAAGTCCTGAGCAGTCGCAGATGTCTAGTTGCCTACACGGGATGGCCCTCCGCGAGGCGAATGTTCTGTTCAGGCTGGAGTGTAGGTCGTGCAATTAGTGGCCGACCCAGTTGTCGGAACTTCGGCCATTCTCGCGGGAAAGCCCGATTATATGTTTTATGTTACCGTGTGTATGGCAATGGTGGTGCCTCTCCTGTACTTCTCTCTCCTCATCTTCTTGCGCCTCGTCTCTGTCTCCTTCCTCTCTCTCTCTCTCTCTCTCTCTCTATGTTATCCCTCTCTCCCTACGGTTTTCTCAATCGCACTGACCGCGAAGTCATCTTCTTGTGGGGAAGAATGTTTCCTAGCCCATACGCAGCCGAGTTGAAAGAAGTGTCGTTTCGGCCACGGCGTACGGACAGTATGGCGTTCGTTCGACATTAATTCCAAGGAGGGTGTAGATCAGTCGGCGGATGACGGGAAGCGCGCTCAGACTCGAAGAGTCGCGCAATGGACGTTGGTGCAGACACGGAGGGAAATATTGATCAAGTGTGTTGTCCAAGGGGGAGTGCTTCGGGATCGTTCCCTGACTCGCACCTGGCGGATAACGGGAAGTACACTTGGACTCTAAGAGTAACGCGATCGACGTCGTCTTTCGGCCCAGAAAGAAATGCTTATCATTTTCAAGGGGGAGGGGGGGAGGAGGAGGAGGAGGAGGAGGAACAGGAGGAGGAGGAGGAGGAGGAGGAGGAGGAGGAGCAGGAGGATTCTGGACGCTTCTGGGCCAGGCCTCCCGAGATATACAGCAGGCCTCCCTGGAGGATGAGGAGGGGCAGGAGGTGGAGCCGGGCGTGCTTCGCGGGTGCTTCCTCGAAGAGGAAGACAGGGAGGAGGAATAGGGCGCACCCATCCGTCCCGCTCAATCCCTCCATCTCTCTTGTGTTCCGCCCCAAATGGAGGAGGAGGAGGAGAAGAACGACGGTATAGAAGAAGGATGAGCCGCAGTAGACGGAGAAGGCGGCCTCCCTGAGGAGGAGGTGGAGGAGGAGGGAAAAATGCCAGAACGCAGTAAGCTGGAGAACAAACAAACGTCGAAAGTTGGACAACTGAAAGATGGCAAGCGAAACGATCTGGGAAGCTGTAAAGGTAGACGTGTGTATTCGTAAAGTTGGCACGTTGGGACACCATAAAGTTGAGTGCCAGAAAGGCGGAAAGCAGAGGGCTGTAAAGATGGAACGCTGACAGTTGGGAAGCTAAATCTTGAAGTCGTTGCGAAACATGGTCACCGCGTCAGAGGCCTGGGTTGCACTACCACTCCCTGCCCCATGTATTCAAACCTGTAATTTTCTCGCGCAGCCCAGTACGGAGATGAAACACGCGAGCCACAGCTAAAGTCAGAACGCCGAACGTTGGACGCTGAAAATTTGGAAAGTTGGAAAGGGAGGCAATTGGAAGGTTGGACGGCTGGAAAGCTCGCTGGCGAAAGCTTGAACATTAGAGCGCTGGAAAGATGGAGAGCAGGACAGCACCGACGCCGTCATCCTCGCACCAGGGCCCCTAATACCCGAGACGATGGGGGAAGCAGCAGCCGCAGCAGCAGCAGCAGCCGCTGTAGGATGAGGGCCTCCAGCGCAAGGCAATGTGCCCTTCCCGGGGGCGGCCGCCATGCGACTTCTGCCGCTGGGGCCTTCGGTGCAGCTCCATGTGGGGCCACGAGGTTGGTTACCGAAACGAAGGGGCGGCCGCTATGCGACTCCTGCCACCGGGGCCTTCGGTGGAAACCTTTATGGGGCCACGAGCCGTGTGAGGGGTGTGCCGAAACGAAGGGGCGGCCGCCATGCGACTCCTGCCAATAGGGCCTTCTGTCTTAGCAGCATCCGCAGGAGCTTTCCTGCTGCTCTGCGCGAGGCGGGGCGCCCCTCATGTTCCGCGAGGGCGCGACTCGGCCAGCATCCGCTCAAAAGTTGTATCGGCGTGCGCATCGAGTTGGAGTGACGCGAGCAGCGCGTTGTTGCGATCCACTGCCAGCCCCAGAAGCACGGTCGCGTCCTCATGCCTCGTCTTTTGTGGCAGAACCGCGCGATCGTGCCTGGACTCGCAGAGCGCGTTCCACTACTTGTAAAGTGCCTACTCGCAAACGTCCGACAAAAACACACGTCTTCCTCAGCCACGCGCAGAGGGTGGTGGGGGGGGAGGGCTTCTTGGAAGCACCCCTGCTTCTTAAAAGGCGCGGGCCTTATCTGTAGATGTAAGGCCGGCGCCTTCCAAGAAGCAGCCTCCTTCTAAGAAGCCCTCCCCCCTCCCTCCACCCCATTGTTCAAGCAGTGGCGAAGCGTCCTGGCTCGCTTATAGCCCTACCAAACAATGTTCTAAGAACTTTTTGTAGTTCCCACGAAATGTTGTTAGAACATTTCTGGTTGGGACTGTCTTGTTTTATCACATCGGGTCTATGTTCTAACCACATTGTTTTTGTTTTTAGAACATTTTGGGGTTCTAAGAACATTTCGTGGTAGGACTATAGGAATGCCGGGACGGTCGGTCCCTGCTTAAATTGTGCGCGCCGCCAACTTCCTCTACGCAAGGAGTCCTAAAATGCCCCGCGGCGGATCCAGGCCATTTGCGAGCAGTTACTCCGCGAGCAGCGGAACGCGCCTGCCTGCAGACGCGGGCAGGTCGCCCGAGGTCCTCGCCCCCGTCGCCTCCCCGCGAGGCGAAGGGGCGCTGCTCCGCGCCCTCCCCCGGCGCGGCCGGACGGGGCTGGGACGAGGACAGGACGGCGCTTCGGGCCGGACGAACGGGGGGGAGTTGGGAAAGGGGGGGGTACGAAATCTGCTGCACGCAGCTGTGTCGGCCCCATCGAGGGGGCCCATTCCTCGATACACAGCCGCCGCTGGCGCCGGGAGGCGCCGGGGAAATCAGCTGCGTGAGCTGATTCTCAAACCCCCCTTTGCTATCCCCCCCTTTCGCCCGGCCCGAAGCGTGCTGGAACGCTCTCAGATCGGGTAGATGGCCAGGACCCCAGGTAAGGGGACCCGGTTAGCAGTAGGGCCCAGGAGCCCCCAAAATTGGCCAGAGTCATTAAACCAGGTCTGCCGTACCTGGTGTTTTTCGGGTGACGGCAGTTCCGGTTAGTGGAATGGGGCGGGGTGGGCGTCACCCAGTACACATCCCTAAATCAGGTCCCATTAAACCCAGTTCTGGCAACGCCCGATCAGAGCCTTCCAGAACGCTCTCAGAAGGCCGCGACGTCCGACGCATTCACCGAGCGCGTTCCGCTACTCGCAGAGTGCCTACTCGCAAAGATCCGAAACGCCACACGTCTGCCCTGGTGCAATAAATCGTAAATCCCCTGCAGCAGATCCAGGCCATGTGCGAGGAGCTACTTTGCGAGGAGTGGCACGCGCTCGTCTAATCCTCCAGAGCCGCCTGTAGCGGGAATCGGGCTCAAGCGTCTTCGAAGCCAACACAAGATGGGCCCAATAGAACACAATATCACAGCCCCGAGTCATCAGGGGTAACTCGGGTCAGGGCCAACTCGGGTTCGTTATTCGGGATTTCGAACCCGAGTTACCCCGGGCCCGAGCCACCCCGGATAGTTCGGGCGTCCAGAGCCCCAAATCATCAGGGGTAATTCGGGCTCGCTTTCCGGGAGTCCAGACCCGAGTTGCCCCGGACCCGAGTCGCCCTGGACAGCTCGGGTGCCCAACAATCGCAGTCGGCCTCCGATGGTCGAGCTCTCTCGTGGTCGAGCCCCCGCGGCCCGCGGCGGCGCTGCGCCCGTCAGGGCGGAGCGCCTCCCCTCGAACGCGCGCGCGCGCGCAGTCGGAGCCCGGGCTGCTGCGCGGCGAGGCGCCGAGCCCTTCCCGCCGCTCGTCCTCGGTCGTCGTCCGTCGTCCTTCGTCGGTCGTCCGTCGTCGTCGTCGCCGTCGTCCGTCGTCCGTCGTCCGTCGCCGTCAGTCCTCGTCGCCGGTCGTCGTCGCTGGTCGTCGCCGTCGGTCCTCGTCGTCGCCAGTCGTCGTTGCCCGTCGTCGTCGGTCCTCGTCGTCGGTCGTCTTCGTCGTCGTTGGTCGCGGTCGTCGTCGACGTCGGGCGAGGCGCTTGAGAGATTCCAAGACAGCACGTCGAAGAAGAGCGGAGGGTGGGGGAGGAAGAGAGAAAGCGAGGTGGATGAGGAGAAAGAGGAGGAAAGGGAGGAGAGCGAGGAGAGGGAGGAGGCAGAGGAAGAAGGCGAAAGATGAGGAGAGGAGAAGGAGGAGAAGGAGGGCGATGATGAACGCGAGGAGGAGGAAGGAGGGAGGGAGGAGGAGGAGAAGGTTGTGGAGGAGCTCCGGGAGAAGGAGGAGCGTGAAGAGGGGAGGGGTGTAGGGAGGGGGACAGAGCGGGGCCCGACTGGGGGGGCCCTGTGGTGATAGGCAGGCAGGCAGGCAGGCAGGCAGGCAGGCAGGCAGATAGACAGACAGACAGACAGACAGACAGACAGACAGACAGACAGACAGAGAGAGGGAGAGAAGCAGGGAAAGAGAGTCATCAACATCTTACACATATTTAGATATATATATATATATATATCACAATTTAGAGAAAGGGAGGGAGGGAGGGAGTCTGGGAGGGAGAGGAGGGGTCGGGAGTGAAGTGAGTGTGCGTTCAGGAGAGGCCTGCCAGCCCAGGTACGGGTGGGTGGAGGAGCTGTCTGCCAGACAGGCACGGTGGCGGAGATCGCCGTCCAGAGGTGCGGGGTACGCGCGCGTGGGGGGCGGCACATGCTTCGGCCGCTCGCGGCGAGGTCCCGCGGAACCTGCTGGGGGTGATGATCGGGCGCGGAGCCATGAACAAGCGCCCGGGGGCGGGGGGGGGGGGGGCACATGGAGGAGAATGGGAAGGGGGGGGAGGGTCGAGCTGGCTGTTTCCGCGGGGCCTCTGGAGGCGCCTCCGCGCGGACCTCCGGGGGCCCTCCTGATTCCTCCAGGAGCTCCCGGAACTTCCAGGGGAGGAGGAGGAGGAGGAGGAGGAAGAGGAGGAGGGGGAGGAGGGAGTCTGCGGGAGAGGGGAGGGGGGGTTCGGGGCGGTGGTGGGGCGCGGAGCTTTGTCGAACGGGTTCGCAGCGTAAATGCTGCTTCTGGGTTGGTAGGGGTGAGGCCCAGGGGGAGCTCCAGACAACGAGCCCGCCGGGGTGGCGATCCAGCGCAGAGTTATGCGCGGGTCCGCGGCACACTGCGATATGAGGGACTTGGGGTGACAGACAGGGTGTCGGTGTCCATTGCGCACTCTCCTCCTTCCCATCTGCTCCCCATACGCCTCCTCTCATCTTCCTCTCCTGTTCCCCTCACCCTCTTCTCCCACTCCCCATCACTCCCCATCCTTTCCTCCTCCACCTCTTCCCCTCCCCCTTCTCCGAAATGCACGCCGTTCTCTCCTATCCTTTGCCATCCACTGGGGGTGGTGGGAGAACGCTGGGTGGACATACGGGGCGACCTCAAAGTCAAGCTGCCTGCACTGCTGCACCAGAGGAGAAGAAGGAGTAGGGGAAGGGAGAAGAGGGTTTGAGATGTGTACGTACGGTGTTCTGGGCAGGGGAGGAGGAGGAAGAGGAGGAGGAGGAGGAGGAAGAGGAGGAGGAGGACCAGTGCAACGATGTTGAAATACACCCTCCCTCCAAGATCCCCCTTCACAGGCCCCTACATGGGGTCATTTCTACAGAGGGAAGTGCCCCGTTGAGGGACAATCGTGTTAACATCTTGAAGCGTGCCGAAACACCATCCTCAGGACTTCAACGCCACGAGTTAACCTGACTGTTACGTACTCGCGATCCTGAATCGTGCCTGCACGCCGTTCTCGGGACTTCAACACCGCGAATAAACGTACCTGCTGTGCCTTAACAGCCCTGAACCGTTCCAGCACACCATTTCTGGTACGTAAACCTGAAATCAGCGACATTTTCGCAAATGTTGAAAACGAATGTGCGCGGCGCTAAGGCGACAACCACATGTTGGAAAGGAGCCATCTTCACTCCGTGAAATTCTGGCAAATCAGAGCGAATGTGCGCGGCGCTAAGGCGAGAGCCACATTTTGAAAACCACCCGCCCTTAACCCGTGAAACTCTAGCAACTGTTTCAAACGACTGCGCGCGGCGACAAGGCGAGAGCCACAGTTTGAAAACGAACCGCCCTCAATCCGTAAAGCCGTGCAGTTTTTAGAACGAGTGTGCGCAGCGCTGAGGAGATAGTTGAGCCACATGTTGAAAGCCGCCCGCCCTCAAACGGTGAAGCTCTTGCACTTTTTCACAAAAGGCGAAAGCCACAGTTCGAAAGCCGCCCGCCCTCAATATGTGATTATCTTGCTTTTTGTGATATATATATATATATATATATATATATATATATATATATGTGCGTGTGTGTATATATATATATATACATGTGTGTGTGTACCGGGGGACGTGGTCGGGAGGCCCCGCCCAGGGACCTCGGCAGGGGATGGGGGGCCCGGGGCTTTATTTTCCGAGTGTTTTTGTTACAAGGTTTCGGCCACCCGGAGCCACCAGAGCCCCGGGGAACGTGGCCAGGGGACCCCTGGCCAGGGACCTCGGCATGGGAGAAAGGTCCAGGTCACAACTGGTCGGGTGAGATCACAACCGGACGGGTAAGATCACAACCGTCCAGGACACGCGGGACGGGTGAGATCAGAACCTTTTTGGAGCCTCTGAGAGCTTCTGAGACGTTCTGAGAGCTTCTGAGAAGTTCTGAGAGCCTCTGAGAGGTTCTGAGAGCCTCTGAGAGCTTCTGCGAGCCTCTGAGAGCTTCTGCGAGCCTCCAAGAGGTTCTGAGAGCCTTTGGGAGTTCCTGAGAGCCTTTGAAAGGTTCTGAGAGCTTCTGAGAGGCTCTGAGAGCCTCTGAAAGGTTATGAGAGCTTCCAAAAACTTGTGAGAGCCTCTGAGACGTTCTGAGAGCTTCTGGGAGGTTCTGAGAGCCTTTGAGAGGTTCTGAGAGCCTCTGAGAGGTTCTGAGAGCCTGTGAGAGGTTCTGAGAGGTTTTGAGAGCCTCTGAGAGGTTCTAAGAGCTTCTGAGCGCCTATGAAAGCCTTCGAGAGCTTCTGAGAGATTCCTGAGAGCCTCTGAGAGATTCCTGAGTGCCTCTGAGAGCCTCTGCGAGGTTCTGTGAGGTTCTGACAGCCTCTGGGGGCTTCTGAGAGCAGCTGTCAGTTCCTGAAAGGTTATGAGAGCCTCTGAGAGCTCCTGCGAGGTTTTGCGAGGTTCTGACAGCCTCTGAGAGCCTCTGCGAGCCATTGGGAGTTTTTTTGTCAGATCTGTTCCAGTTGAGTGCTTCTGAAAGCTTTC